AAGTGCATTTGTATATAAACCCACCAAACTCCTTTTCCTCTACCAATGAGGGACAATGTCTCATTAAAAGGAGAGGGAAACTTAAAATTTTACTCAAAATTTTCATTTCCCTCCATTTCCCATTCACCCTCTTTTTAATACCTTTCTATATTAAAAGAAACTCAACACTTAGTATAATATTATTAAGACTGACAATTAAATTCTTTAATTGCAGGATATATTGAGAAATATCTTTTACTATGATATGTTAAGGTTCATTTTATTCATTGGTTTTTGTTGTAGGTTGTTGCAGAATAATCAGTTATCTGGTCCAGTTCCTGCTGAGATTGGGAAGCTCTCTGAACTGCTGACCCTTGACCTATCTGGTAATCAGTTTGATGGAGAAATTCCTAGGGCGTTGGGTCGCCTGTTCCGTTTAAGTTACTTGTGAGTGTGGACTAAACTATTTGAAATATTCTATCTTGATCACACATATGTTACAGTTCTCTTCTACTTGGCTTTGTATGTAATCCTTTTGTGTGTCAAATTTGTAGGAGGCTTAGCAGGAACAGATTATCTGGACAAATTCCTAAACCTGTGGCATCCCTTTCAGGTCTTTCATTCTTGTATGTATTCCATCCATGACATTTGTATGTCCAATTCAAGGGCGAGATGCGAGTTAAATAACTTGTGAATGGTGTTGTGCAGGGACTTATCGTTCAATAATCTTAGTGGTCCTACTCCAAAAATTTTGGCTAAAGATTACAGGTAAGATTCAGGGTAAAATAATTCCATCTGCCTCTATGCTTGGTCCTCCAATGTTATTAGTTTGGTCAGTCAATTGGAAATATCTTTCTGGTCTCTAGTTTGATGGATCAAAGGGGTTCAAGTTTTATGCTTTTTCTATGAGGATGATGATATATGCAACACTAAAGGAAGAAAAAGATCCGCTCAGCTATTACTTCCATTATCCTCTGAATCTCAAGCTTTATCATTTTAAGAATTTAAGCAAATTTTGAAGGTGAAACAAATTCCCTGCAAAGTGTACGACTGCTATGGAAGGCTGTCATCTGACATTCTATAGAGTTCACCAGCTTTTCACGATTTTGGATAGACATTCAGATCGTGTAAGTTCAAATGTGAAATACAAATGCTTGGTACGATGTTGCATCTGCAGCATGTCATATGACACAGTGCCATACATAGTTTTTCTGTCATAGTAAAGTTTTCTATCGTTTTAGTAACTGTCATCTTGCATTACTTCGACTGTTAGTTGTGGTGGTATGTTGTTCACTGAAAAAAATGGTCACTTCTTGATAGCTTATGGACCTGAAAGTAATGTTTCATTTCTCATCATTGGAAGTATTATCTTGTGCTTGATCCAGCAGAACCTCCACGATGTTATTTATTTGCCGAAGTCAATCAAAATATTTGACTTGATATTCTCATGTCATAAAAGTTTTGTACCCTACTTACAATGCTTACTGTTTATATCCCTCTTGATGTCATTCTTGCAACCTTTCGGGTTTCTTTGTATTCTTTTTTCAGCTTATATTTTTGGTTATTGCCTTAGTATTGCAGGAAACAGCTTTCTTTGCTCTGCAATGCCCACACAAATTTGTGGGGGCGTGCCAAAACCAGCAAATGGTATTGTTGAAATCTTACCAGAACTTTTTTATGATACTGAGGCTGAAGCGTTTTGACCAAACTCTATTTTTTTTACCATGCAGAAATGAGTTCAGACAGGAAGATTAGCAATCATCATCGGTGGGTTGTTTCTGTTATCATTGGGGTCAGTTGCACATTCATAGTTACTGTCATGCTGCTTGTTTGTTGGGTGCATTGGTACAGGTCTCGTGTCCTCACAGGATATGGTAACTACAAGATTAGAAACACATCTCTGATCTCCTGCACATTAACCCTAGATACATTATGAGTCTCTGATCTTTTGATCTGCAGTGCAACACGATTGTGAATTCGCCATTGGCCACCTGAAGAGGTTTTCATTCCGTGAATTGCAAATTGCCACTGGAAATTTCAGCTCTAAAAACATATTAGGACAAGGTGGATTTGGAGTAGTCTACAAGGGATACCTTCCCAATAGGACAATAGTGGCTGTCAAAAGATTGAGAGATCCAAATTTCACTGGGGAAGTGCAGTTCCAAACAGAAGTTGAGATGATAGGCTTGGCTGTGCATCGGAACCTTCTACGTTTGTATGGATTCTCAATGACTGCAGAGGAAAGATTACTTATTTACCCTTATATGCCAAATGGGAGTGTTGCTGATTGCTTGAGAGGTTTGCTTGATGTATATTTACTTGGAGCTTTTCTTGAACTAATTTTTTCATCTTGTTACAATTGATTTCTAAAATTGATCAGGTTCACCAATGAATTTCAATTATTTCCCAGTGCTCTCAATGTTAATCTGGCAAAAATTCTTAAAAGGTCATGATTTATGGAAATCAAGGACTTTGTGCAATGTTCTTACTGTTCTATGCCTGAAACCAGGATTCCTATGATGAAAACGGCTTCTGATTGATTAGATTAAGTTGGAGATATATTGTCAATGTTTCTTGTAAGTGGAATGATATCAATATATCAATAAACCAATCAACTACGCGTCAAACCCATACTACATCATCCATGAATGAAATGAGTTGTTTTTTGGTGGTAAGGTAACAGTTGCCTTGTCATTAATATTTAACATGGCCAAATTCATAGTCCATTTTAGGTATATGAAATCAAAATCAAATTGGAACGTGTATTGGGATGTAAACGGGTTACTTGATGCAGTGATTATGTCATCTTTTGCTCAGTTCTCACGTAAGATTTGATTCTCTACCAGATAATGGTCGGGATACACCATTTTTGGATTGGAGCAAGCGCATGCATATAGCCCTTGGAGCTGCCAGAGGGCTTCTGTATTTGCATGAACAGTGTAATCCTAAAATAATTCACAGGGATGTTAAGGCGGCTAATATTCTTCTTGATGAAAGCTTTGAAGCTGTTGTTGGTGATTTTGGTCTCGCGAAGCTTTTAGACTGTAGAGATTCGCATGTCACAACAGCAGTTCGTGGTACTATAGGTCATATAGCCCCAGAGTATCTATCAACTGGCCAATCATCTGAGAAGACAGATGTCTTTGGATATGGAATACTACTTTTGGAACTCATTACAGGGCTCAAGTCATTAGATGCAGGAAATGGTCAAGGTCAGAAAGGACCTATTCTTGACCGGGTGTGTAGCTTCTAGCCCTCGCACTATTTGCAGCTTTATATATGTGTGTGTATAATTTTGTAACTTCTATTTGATTGACGAGTTAATAGCTTATCTTTCTGCAGGATTTTGTTTGGGCCATAAGCAAAGCCATTATTTGACTTGAAATTTTCACTAAAATTGACACAATAACTATTGTCAGACGCGGAAGTTGCTCCGCATCTCATGAGAGAAAGAATTCTAAAATTATGAAACATTATTTGATAACTTTGTTTTTTATGCTGACTTTATAATCTGGTACATGATCTGTTGGGCTTATGGAAAATCTTATTCGGGTTTTTGGTTGTCATATTTACTAATCACTCATTCTAACTACCTGTCGAATTTGCAGGTCCGGAACTTATTTGAGGAAAAGAAAGTGGAAATGCTTGTGGATAGGGATCTAAAAGGATGTTTTAATACAGAGGAGCTAGAGAAAACAGTTGAAGTGGCTCTACAGTGCACTCAATCTAACCCCAATAATCGGCCTAAGATGTCAGAGGTTTTGAGAATCCTGGAAGACATTACGGGACAAATGGGGCATGTGGACGAATCACAAGTTGGAAGCAACATATGCGAAACAAGAGCTTTCAGCTTCTCTAGGAATTTTAGCGATATCCATGAAGAATCCTCATTTACCATTGAACCAATTGAGCTTTCAGGACCCAGATAACAAAAGTAGCCAGCACTTGCCTCATCATTTCAAGCGTGCGATCTTGATATATCTAGTTCAGCCATACAATTGCCTCCATTGTTGTTTCAAGTCTATCTCCTAGTAGTTTGTAAGTTACTGTAATTTGTAAAATCATTACTAGTTCTTGATAGTTCATAACCTTTGTGTTAGAATTAACTAGACTAACCTCACTTTATAACTTCATTATTTGAAAAAGACTAACTCAGTATGCCATACTAGTTCTACTGTCTGTTTGTTGAACAGGTCAATGCATTTCAGAAGCTTGATTATAGTGACATGTTCAGTTCCTGTCAATCGCCATTCCCATTTATTCTTACTAATATTCTTGTAGTGAGATAAAAAGGAACCTAGTGGAAGGATATGCTCCTTTTGTTTTGAACGGCTGTTGTTGGAGCGTTTATTATGGAGTTATCTGTGGAGTTAAGACAATGCAACTCATTTCCAGTTCCACATTGAACTTTTGAAGATTCTTAAAACACAACTATTGAACTATTGGAATACAGAAAATAAAATTATCACTTGTCCTATGGTCTTGAAATCCAGAAATTACTGTTTCTTTGTAGAGTAGTGTGAATAAAGCTCTTATAGTTGGTTGCATAGCTTCCTCATGATTCCAAGGTAACTACTATTGGACTCCTAACAAAGTGCTTGGATGAGCTCCATTTCAAAAATCCTTCAACAAAGGTGGCATTAACGCTTGAAATTGATCGGTTAAAGGTTACTTGATATGTAATCTTCTGGTAAATCTCCGAGAAGTGCAAGGTGGAGGGCTCAACTTTCACATCAACTCCTTGGGGTGGCACAATCTCCAGAGTATAAGATGAGACGGGCTCGCCTGCATTGGTCACAGTCCTTGTGTATACTTGAAAATCAGAAAATCAGATCCAAGTTTAATTGAAAAGGATGGATAGTTAAGTTCTGCTTCAGGGATGGTTGATGAGCAGTTTACTTCTTTCAAAACAATCAAACTAACAGCTCTACTTGGGTACAACCCACATAAATAAGGTATATAATCATTTGGTTGGATGTCATAGATCAGCCCCGGATCATTTGCTCTTAATGGGTTAACGTGGCCTGCACCAGTAGCAAAGAAGTCAGCACGGAGGCCCCTTTCATCTTCAATGGGATTATTGTCAAGGTTCATAAGATCAGCAGTTGTCATGATTGCAGACTTGATAGTAGCTGGAGACCATTCTGGATGTGCACTCTTGATTAATGTCACAACTCCTGAAAGGTGATGACAGGACATTGATGTGCCAGAAAATACGTTAAAGGTAGATTTCGTGCGGGTATTGTTCTCCACGGATGTTGGCCACGCTGCAAGGATGCTAATACCAGGACCAATAATGTCAGGTTTCAATATGCCAGGGCTTTCCGGAAAAGGACCTCTAGATGAAAAGGCTGCAATTGCTGGAGCATGATCATCTCCGAATATAGTTCCTTTAAACAAAAATGAAGCCACAGGGGTTGATGTTGAGTTCATGTAGGCTTTGATTTTCAGGCCATCAATAAAACTGATATGCGCTGCTGGAAGAACGTGAGGGTCAGTTACTATAGTGAAGACCTGTGGCTCCTCGTTCATGAGTATCATTCCAGCACCCCCAGCATCCTTCACAAAATGTCCTATATCTAGTCTTTCTATCCCATCACCAGCTTCACACAAAACTATCTTTCCTTTCACATCAATATTTTTCAAAGACTCAGGTACTGCAAAATGGGGCCATCAAATCACTAGTATTTGTTCCAGGGTAAACTAATGGCAGCAGAGTTTGAGAGAAGTCTTCAGCAGAGGCGGAGCCAGGATTTGAAGCTTATGGGTTCAGGATTCTAATTTTTTTAAATTATTGGGTTCTATAATAATAATTTGTATATATTTCATAAATTTTACAAGACAAATATAGAATCTGCACAAAAGCTTCCGGGTTCGATCGAACCCGTAAATAGCGGGCTAGCTCCGCCCCTGGTCTTCAGGTTGGAAAGCTGATTCACCATCAATTTCTTTGCCGCTTCCTAGCAGTACGGTTGCCCTTAATTTTCTATCGGTGGTGCTAGCACCAGCAGTGAGAAGCCATGGAGCTCCATTTGCTACTGTGCCATGTTCTGGACCTGTATTACCAGCTGTGGTGCGTACAAGAATTCCATTTTGAATTGCAGTAAATGAACTGAGTGCAATAGAGTCCCCCCAGAAAGGTCTAGAGATGTCATCAATGGAAATTGAAATTACATCAACACCATCTTCAATTGCAGCATCCATAGCAGCAAATGTGTCACTCTCAGAACAAGCAGCACTAGCGTCACAGACTTTATACATGGCAACATGAGCAAGGGGCACCATGCCTGAAGCCGTTCCATTAGCAAGGCCAAAAACATTGGCACCATAGACAAAGTTTCCAGCAGCTGTGCTTGAAACATGTGTTCCATGTCCATTCTCATCCAATGGCGTCCCATTTCCAAACTCCTGGAAATATCTTGCTCCAATGAGCTTGTTGTTGCAGGCTGTAAAGTTGAACTCACACTTGCCCTTCCACTTAGCGGGAGGAGGAGGCACTCCTTTGTCATGGAACGACGGATGATTAGGTGTTATCCCAGTGTCTAAAAATCCAATAATCATACCTTTACCATAGTTTATGCTTTTCCAGAAGCCTAAATTCTGGTGCAGCCCCAGGAAATGAGTACTGTGGGTTGTTCGTGCATGCAACAGTCTTTGTGGCTGCACTGATACGATCCCTTCTGCCCCCTGCAGTATCTCTGCTTCGTCTGGTGTTAGTCTAGCTGCAAAACCATTATCATATCAGAAATGACAACCCTCACTGCATGTACGTCCAATCGCCACATGTTTGATTCATCACATCCGGTGGTATCCCTGTCATATCAGCGTGGGACCAAGCAAAGCAGTCTACGTTAGCTTTTAAAAATTCAATTATCATACCTCGCATGTCTGAGCTTAAATTGGCTCCGACATAAACCTTCCGTTCAGGCCATTGCTCAAATAATATCACTGCCTCGAGCTCTTCAATTGTTGTTTTGATGTTTTCATTTTCTTCAGGTTCTTGAATTGTATCAGGCCTCGAGTCCAAATCTGTCTTTTCTTGTTCAGCTGAAGTTTGATCTTTTACACCTTCAACTGTTTCCTGTAATTGCTATTTTTCTTTATTTACGGTGCTCGTACCTGTTACAGCGTTGACACTTCTAGTCGTCTGCTGATCCCCACGAATTTGGCAAATTCCCCATGGTGATGGGAATTTAATAACTTGATGTAGAGTTGATGGGACAACATCCATATCATGTATCCATGGTCTCCCCATGATCATATTGTAGGCCATTTCCATATCAACTACCTGAAATTTAGTTTCTTTAACAACACCCGTAGCAAAAGTTGTTAGAATTACCTCTCCTTTTGTTACCACACTTGAATTGTCGAAGCCTGACAAGGTGTGCGCCTTGGGTATCACTTTGTCTTCAGCTTGCATTTCACGTAATACCCTTAGTAGTATAATATTTACGGAACTCCCTGGATCAATCAAAACTCGTTTTACATTAGTATCATGTACAAGTAAAGATATTACCAGAGCGTCATTATGTGGAGTTATCACTCCTTCGGTATCTGCGTCATCGAACGAAATACTTTCATTTTCTAAAACCTGCCGCACCCGCTTCCCGTGTGTAATTGTTACCTTAGAAACCTTGTTGGAGGCTGTGTAGGTTATGCCGTGAACATCGTCTCCCCCACTTATCACATTCACCGTTCTCTTGGGTGAAGGAGGCTTTGGCGGATCTTGCCTATTTTTCATATAGGCTTGTTTTCCTTTTTTACTAAATAACTTGGTGAGGTACCCTTGCTTCAATAGATGATCCACTTCACTCTGCAAAAATCTACATTCTGAAGTTTTGTGCCCGTGATCATTGTAGAATTCGCACCAATGATGGTACATATAATTGTTACCAAGTTTTGTTGCGATTGGACGTACCACCGGGTGCTGAGAAAAGGGTAATTCCGATCATGCTCAACCCTCACTGCAGAAATGACATGAGACATCACATTTCCCACGTTGATAGGATATCCCACCATAATAGAAGCAACCAGAATAGCCCGGGCAAGTGGAATAGTCTGATCATGGGTAGTGGGGTCGAGTCGACTACACACAAAAGTCAACCACCCTCTAACCTCAAAGTTGAAGGTTCTCCGAAATATTTTGGTCCCTGCTTGTAACCACTCTGGAACCGTACCCAGGATTTCCATGTATGAAGCTAACCACGGACGAACCTCCTCGCCCATTGCCAACTTTTCATTGTAAAGGGACTCATCTTCATCATTGAACCCCAGGTATTCATTTATTGCCTTCCCGGTAAATACCACATTTTTGCTTCTCACTTTGGTCATTGTAGTGCCCTTCAAGATGTGGGCCACATTGTTATAGAACTCCTTGATCATATGCTCATTCGCCTTCACACAATTATCTTTGAAGAACTCCCAACCCACTCGAGCCTGAAATTGTCTATGTACATTGGGGTGTAGGGGTAGGAGGTCTTTTTCAATGAAGCTCCTCTCAAGAATCAATTTTCATGACGGCCACCATTCCCTAAACTTGTGGAACGCCACCTGGTTGACGAATCTATCCTCCCAAACAGCGGGATTCCTAGTCCGGTCAACACCCCCAACCTGCGGCACACCACCCCACGGTTACTCCCCATCTCCCTCATTACCTCTAGCTCCCTCTCTAGATATTGATGTTATGGGAGAANCATTTAAATTACTTGCAAAGGCTATTGCAGCCCAGTTGTCAGGCACACGGGGTAGAGTCATTCTCTCACGCTGGAATCTATCAACAAAACCTCTAAGCAACTCCGAATCCCCTTGTTTGATTTTGAAAATATCTTCCATTCTTTTCTCAACCTTTTGTGCTCCCGAATGTGCTTTAATAAAAGAATCTGCAAGCTCAGCAAAAGAATTTATAGAATTTTCAGATAAAAGAGAATACCAGGTTAATGCACCCTTGGTGAGTGTTTCTCCAAATTTCTTGACCAGTACTGATTCAATTTCTTGTTTGGTCAAGTCGTTGCCTTTCACGCCTGTTGTAAATGCAGTCACGTGGT